TTTTTTTTATACTTCATGTTAAAGTCATTGTTGAATACATATGTTACTGGTACTTTTAATTTATGGTTTTATCTTATTGTATTTAAATGAAATTTTAATAATGTGTGTACTGTATCATATATCGTTCTTATCGGGTATTTTGACTCTGTTCCAATGATTGGGAACTTAGACTAGTATTTACTTTGTGACACGTTCTATATCCAACAGTTTGTACTTTCAACTCATGTATGGATCAACTGAACTTGAAATAAATATGAATGAATATGAATAAGACTCCATTCTTCTTGGATCTGATTATGTTGTAGGTGGGCACCAGTGTTTCAGAGGAACCGGCTGCCTCCATCTTGAAGGTAGAAAACACTTCTGCTTTGAAGATGGAAACAGGTGGTTCCTCTGAAATACCAATACCAGACTACAAATTATCTCATTCTAGAAAATCATATCTGGATACTGTTGTGAGAAGTGAAGTAATATTAATGGACATATGTCATGATGTGGCGGGGTTTATTCATTACTGGATATATGCAGTGGCTGCATTATTGCAGAGCTGGGACTCCTGGAGAACCCACAGCACAGTCTGGAATACCTGGAAGAAGTGGAGAGGCTTGGGGAGGAGATAGTGCGCGACAAGCAGGAAGTTGTGGCACTGGACAGGCGGCGTAATCAAAACCGAGAAGCTCTCCGAGCCTTGCACCGCCCTGATCATGGCAAGACATGGCTCACTCTTGGCTCGCTGCTCATCAAGACGCCTACTAACAAGGCAAAGGAACTTCTAGAGCATGGCAAGTCTCCACTATCTCCCATACTAAGGGACAGGGTCTACACAATAGAGTGTGCTGTCTCCAAGACAGGACTGATTCTGTTTCAATAGAGAGCATGATCAGTCACATGGAATGGAACTCTGTTGTGTATTTCATGGTACTTTACCTGGAGACTGAGAAGAACTATGAAAACCTCAGTTCCAAACGCAAGAGCTGTAACACTATGCGGTCGGGCATGTATGGACACTTCACTTATGTTCAGTTTGGCCACAGCAAGTGTGACCATATACAGGATGTTCCTAAAAGAATGGTGGGATTTCATTGCTGTATATCTCCGTCAGTTTTTGGTGATGGAAAGCAAAACATATACGGATTCATAATGCGGGTCTCAAATTTTCATTTTGTATATCACACTCTTTCCTAGTTCCATTTCCAACAGTTAGGCGGCATGAAATTTAAGATGGCGACCCAGTAGAAGGCCTATCGCGTGCTGCAATTTGAGATATCTAAATCCGTCAATACAGTGTGCCGTGAATTTCGTGTAGGTTTTCAGGACGAGGCGCCACATGAAAACAACATTCGCAGATTATGCCGGCAGTTTGTGGACAGTGGATGTGATTCTCCGAAAATTAACGTCTTCTGTATTGTCTCTCAACAAAAAGTGTACGGGCCTTTTTTCTTCGCTGAAGCAACAGTGACTGGTAACACCTTCCAAGACATGCTGGAAAACTGGTTCTTTCCACAACTGGCCAATGATTCCAGTGACTACATTTTCCAACAGGATGGTGCTCCCCCACAATTCCATTGCAATGTGAGAAGTTTGCGTAATATGATTCTTCCACAACGATGGATTGGATGTGCTGCAGGCAAAGATGCCCCCCCCTTCACCGGTGGCCACCCCGGTCCCCGGACATAACTCCATGTGATTTCTTCTTGTGGAGGTACATGAAGGACATGGTTTATGTACCTCCATTGCCCCAATCACTCCAGGATCTCCAAAACAGAATCAGTCGTGCTGTGGAGACCATCACACCTGAAATGCTGCAGCGGATGTGGCAGGAATTCGACTATCGCATTGATGTGTGCCGGGTAACGAAAGATGTGCATGTAGAGACACTTTGATGGATGCACACAAAATTTGGACAGTTAAGCTTCTGATTGACACATGTTATGATTGTACATGGTAAGAAATACGCGATATATACGTATCTGAGACCCCACCATTCTTTTAGGAACACCCAGTATTTTATATAATGTTTCATATTTCTACAGGAACCTTGAAAGATGAAGGTAGATTATAACATAAATGGAAATACTGCTTTGTGCAAAGTGCTAAATACTGTAGTTGTTAATGATGGAAGTTATGATTAAATTTAAGATGTGAGGTTAGCAGCGTACGCATTGACAATACACTCAATGCTAGCCCGACTGCTCCCGTTTCACCTCAGCAATAAGGGTGTGTCAGCCAGCCTCCCATTGACATCACTCTCAGGTTTGCTGAGACACAAGCTTTTCCCCCACTTCATGGAGAATGTGTGAAATACTACCCAAACAACTTCCTGCAACTACTTAGAGGTACCACAAAGAATCTGATCTGGTATCTGGTTTGTGAGCTACCCTGAGCAGTTACATGACTAAACATATTTACCCAGTCATGACTTATACAACTTGCATTAAAGAGTTGCCCACTTCATGTGTGAGCAGAGTGGCCGCTAATTTGATTGATGTTTTCATCAGTTCTCTCAGTCCTTAGAGCTGAGTTCTGGAACAGCTCCATTCCTGAACACTGAACATCCTTCTCACAGACTATGAAATGTTCTCAGTATCAGTGTTGTCTAACTTGTAACCCTGTGCAGTATGTGGATTGAGGCATTGTGTCTGTCCACAGATCAGGTGCAGCTAGACATGCAGATCAACAAGTTGCGCAGTGATCTCAAGGTGAAGGTGAACAGACTGCGAGACATGGAGTTCCAGTCACCTGTACCTGGGCTTATGCTCAGTCCGCTGACCCGTTCTGAGCTGAGTGCTGTAGGACAGGTGATAGGCCGACATGCGTGAAATAGAGCAAATATTTGTCACTTAACCTAATGCTACAAAAATTGTCATTCTGTTTTGTTACAAATTAATGACTCCTATGAAACGAGGGCTCTGTGCCCAAGAAAGTGTTTAAGTATCCGGGCACAATTGGGTGCTCATGTGCCGCCATTTTACTACTGATCATTGGTTGTAAATGTTGTAATTTCTGTGTCTGTCTTCTGATATCAATAAAATGGCCAAAATATCACATGTTGTGCAGTGGTACAGAAACCCTGAGTACATATTTGCAACAGGACAACAAGCATAAAAAAATCAGTGAAAAGATTAGGAACGAGAAAAGGATCTCATCTGAATGTCTCACAGTTTGTTATGTTTACAATTACAGATGAGTTTCTGTCTCCTGGGAGTCAGGAACTAGCAACCGTTCTGCCAATAACACTGCAGATGGTGGACTACATAATGAAGTACACAGAATTACAACACTCTTTGAAGTTTATTAAGCTTATTTAAATAATCTGAATATGGGAATAATGAAATGCAAATTGGTGAAGGTCTCCCATTTCTAACTTCAGCAAGATCTATGGAAGGGTTTCTGGGATGCACAGAAACGTCCACTTATGGTCCCACACAAACTTGGCTTTCTAACAAATCAGTGAGAACTGCATAACAACTTCTGCAAGTCTTCTCTATTGAATTTTAGGAAAACATGTGAAACGTTTATGGAATGCAAGGGAAAGCCAGTTCATGGTTTTGTATACACTTGGCTTTGTTATGGATCAAAATGGCTGAAAACTGGAACCAACAATTTACAGTGAGAGTCTCCTATGTCAAAATTCAACACTCTTGAAATGGTTAATGGGATGTGGAGAATTCCATTTATGGCCTTACATAACTTGGGCCTTATTATGAATCAATATGGCTTAAAATTGGAAGTGGTCAATATGCCTTAGCGAAAGTCTCCCATACCGAATTAGGCTCTCACACTATGTCACACATGGACAGACATCACCTCCACAGAGAGCGTTTTTAATTTATAGATAAAATTAAGGTGCAGTAAACCAGGTTGGCAGGAAGCTGAACTCTGAGGGCCCCGGTATCCTGACTGCCACCACATCTTCATGTGGTCTCCATTCAAACTTCCAGACTGTGTCTGGTCCCTCCTCCACCACCACACTCTGCACGAAGCTCAGAAACCGGTCGCAGAAATTCATGCACACACTTGGATCCCAAACATTCTGCAATAGAAGTGAATGTTTCAGTGCTAGCCATTTGACAAGGAGCATCCACTCTTATAAAAGGGGCAGTCATGTAACTTCAGTCTGTGAGAACTTTCACAGCAAAAGGGAATGTACAAAAGTTAATGACTTGTGTATATATTTTAAGAATCACAAAATGATTGAGCAGACTTGATATCCAGATTATAATGAGACATATTTGTGATATGAACAACTCTTTTCTATTTTTATACTTGTTGAAATTAAATCTGATGTGCATGTAAATTAGGGGCCGTAGCAGAGTGATCTGAAATATCAGTGGAGTGTGGACTATAAGGATTTCTGATGAAAGAACAGTGTGCCCAGGGATGGCAGAGTTCATCTGTCCATTTGCCTCCATTGGTACTCAAGTCAGCCCCTTACACCTGATCATGGAAATGATCCAGTTTCCAGAATGTTGGGCATGAAAGGATCATGACTGTATTCATATTTCAGTATGTGTCCTCATCTTTCTGTTAACATTTCATGCATGTGGCAGTAAAGTGAAACAAAAAACAGCTCACCCCAGCCATTTTGTGAAGTTTAATCACTTCAAAATTTTCCAACTTATGCACCATTCCTCTGTCATCTCGGAACCCACACACAATTTGACGTGTGCCGACCAGGAAACTCTGTGCCCACCACTTGATGAGTTTAAATCTGGAACAGTATGAACATTGCTAGCCACCTGCACCGCCATGATACTATTTACTGTCTATGTGGAGGAACCACCCTAACGTTACATGTGTTCAGAAATACTGACTTTTGTGATGTTTATGTCAGGGTCACAAAGGAAGAACATTTCAGGAAGATGCAAGCTGCCACCCCTCTATGAACACTCCCTCGTAACATTAGAACCAACTGACTGACTTTATAAAAATCAGTAGGACAGTCGTGCCATTTAAAACCAACTGAACATCATAACATTCTATTCAGATTCCTCGTCTTCAGTAATACCAACATTACAATCATTCACTGTGGGTGTCTTTACATTTTGAATGGGAATCAAAGACACAAAGCTGGGCACATTACATATAAAAATACTGTTCAAATGTTTTTGTTGTGTACAATTATATTTGTTGAGCGTAGTTTGTTGAGGGGCCATGCTACAAGCGGAAGGTCATGGGTTCAAGTCCCGATGAGATCTTTTGAGCCCCCACCCTACTAGCTGGGGGACGGGTGTTCTCGTGTTATTTCAATCCACCAAATAAATACAACAGACGTAAACAATAAAATCAAATAACATTTAATAAATGATTAACAAATTGCACCAAAAGGAAAACACAATAGTAATTCGGCATAACCAGGCACGAGATCTCTTAACTCAACTCGCAGACCACGCCCTTCTCCGCCACAGGCGGCGTGTAAAACATATTTACAAGAAACTCGCGCTACATAATTCCATCTCCAAAAAATCGCCTTGGCACACAATACAAAGAAAAGCTAAACATACAGACTCTCGGCTCACAGAGTCCTTCCAAGAATCAACAATGAAATAGCAACATTATGTGTATTACCTGGAGATGGGCCCTCCTGCCTGGAGTCTACTGCCAAACCAATTCTTTTCAAGGCGCCGGCCTAAACAGAATTTCGTTACGGAGCGACACGTCCGTTCGCTACGACGTTCCAGGCAGAAGAGGGCTTGTACCCCAGCCGAATCAGGAAAGACAGGGGGTGATGACGTAAGATACGCCACGGAATAAGGATAAGTAGTAAGGAAAGTAGGAAGACAAATGGTGGGAGCCGCGGCCACCGTCGCTCAGAGAGGGCACCACATCCAATGAGCCGAAGAGATCGGCTCAGGATCGCCCCCTCCCTCTCAGAAGAAACTCGACACTCAAGGACGGCTGCTGGCAAGCATCGACAGGGGATACGCGAAGGGCTCTCCACATAACATCCGACGGAGGCGGCTAACGACAATTCAGTCCAAGTCCTTGCCTCTGCCTACTACACCTAACTCAACGGGAGCGGAACACTAGGGCGTAAGAGACGGCACACAGCCTTGTCCAAATCCCTGCTAACACTCCTTCCCCACTCCCGGAGCACCGGCACCACACTACCCCGACACAGCACATCACAGTCTGCAGGGGTGCATAACTCGGGAGGCCCCTCCTCACGATCCTCCTCTTGCCAGGTAGATGAAGGAGTAGCCCCTCCGACTTCCCGGGCCCTGGGTACGACGGAGGCGTCCAGTCGCAGGCTTCGATGTTGAAGAGGCAGGCGGCAACCAAGGGAGGGAATAAATAGAAGGTGATTCGGCTAGAAGCGCCTAAAAAGAAAATAAAGAACAAAATGATTCCTAACAGCGTAACAATGATACTTGGGGCTAATAAGTTAGTCCCGAACAAAATATTTCTTCAACTGAGAAACGTGAGCTTTATGTAAGATAACTCCAGTGTCTGGATTTGCCAACTGAACAGTGACATTAGTCAAATACTTAGAAATAACCATGGGGTCTGACCATCGCATATCAATCTTCGCGGACCTTTTCCGCACCTTGGAGCTCTGTGGATGGAGACGTACCAAGACCAGGTCTCCCACCTGAAACGCCGCCTCCCTTCTCAGTATGTTATAACGCCGGGCAACCCTATCCCTAGCCTTCCTCAAATTTTGTAAGGCCGTCCCCCAATATATCTGCATATCCGCAGGGGGTCGCTGTAAGTCCAGCTCAGAGAACTCCCAACGTAACCCCAAAGGATGGTTAAGTTCCCGACCAAGGAAAAGCACGGCGGGTTGGGTTCCGGTACTCTCATGCCAGGCTGAATTAAACACCATGGCCAGCATGGGGAGATTCTCGTCCCACAAGGTATGTTGAGAGTGGTGGTAGACGGTAAGGGCTACTTTCAAATTTCGATTGAACCGCTCCACCTGGGAGGCTTGGGGATAATAGGGAGAGGTGGTAATGTGTTTAATCCCCCAAGAAAAACAGGTGTTATAAAACCGGCGAGACTTAAACACAGCCACATTGTCCGAAACGATGGTCTGGGGAAGACCAAAACAGGGGAAATACCCCTCTGTCAGGGCCTTGACAACAGCTTCAGAACAGATCCTTCTGACCGGGTACAAGGCCACAAATTTAGAGAAGCCATCTAACACAACCAAGATAGCCACATTCCCCCGCCGACTCCGGACTATCGGCCCCACAAAATCGATGAAAATGCGCTCCATGGGTTTGGTGACCACTTCGCTATGATGAAGACCCACCTGGGCATTTCGGGCAGGTTTCGCCTTCTGGCAAGGCTGACAACTGCGGACATATTTCGAAACTTCCGACCTAATGCCCGGCCAGTAAAACACCTTAGATATACGAAGGAGAGTTTTGGCGACACCCAAATGCGCCCCTAGGGCCGAATCATGGAAATACTCCAGGACCATAGGTCTAAGGTCTTGAGGGACCAAATACCTCTTAGCCCTGGCTCTCAATGGAGAATAAACGATGGTGTCCTTCAGCAGCTGGTAGTTTCGAACCTCAGGGTCTCGATGTTTAATTTTATCGTAAATCTCTCTGCAGCGGGAGTCTTTAATCTGATGTTCTCTTATAGATGAGAATGCGGCGGGCAAATGTTGAAGCACCAGCCCCGAAAATAGCTGATCGGAGGTAGGCTTCTCAAATTGGCGTGTCAGACAGTCCGCTACAACATTAGCTTTTCCCGTAACATGGACCACCGTAAACTTAAAAGACGCCAAGCGCAGTATCCACCTACCTAAGCGACCAAGTTCCCTGACCTGCTTCAGCAGCCATGACAGGGCTTGGTTGTCCGTGTGGAGGACAAACTGCTTATGCTCCAAATACGCCCTAAATCTCTCGCATCCCCAAACAACCGCGAGACATTCCTTTTCATAGGTCAAATACTTACGTTCCGTTGCCGAAAGCAAACGGCTCGCAAACGCTATGGGGGCCAATCCGGACTCGCACCACTGATTGAGGATGGCAGACACAGCCAGATCGCTCGCATCGCAAACTAGGACGAATTCTTTCGAGAAGTCTGGCACC